CGTACGGCGGGACGCAGCGACCCGCAATAAAAAAATTAATAGAAGTAATACAAAACGGATTCCAAAGAACGCGCATCCTCACTGCACCTGAAATCCGCGAATATTGGGAAGTGAGGCACCGCCTAAGTGTTGACGACGGGTTAGTGCTCTTAGATCAAAGAATTGTTATCCCCACCTCACAACGCGCAAAATATTACATAGCCTACATTCTGCACATCAAGGCGAAGTTGGCATGAAGGCACGTGCCAATGAATCTGTTTATTGGCCCGGGATGAATGCTTCAATTCGTAACATTAGAGCAGGTTGTACGTTCTGCTCAAAAATTGCCCCGTCAACCAAAGAGCCAATCAATTTGACACCATCTCCTGATTGGCCATTTCAGCAAATCGTCATGGACATCTTCCATGTTGGAAACCATGGTTACTTAGCATGCGCTGACAGGTTAACGGGCTGGCTGAATCTATACCACTTGAGCCACGGAGAAGCTAATGCCTCAAGGATTATTTCGATTTGCCGAGACATATTTCAAACCTACGGCGCTCCTGAGGAACTCAGCAGTGATGGTGGGCCACCCTTCACATCTCTTCCATTCAAGCAATTTTTTGCAAGACTGGGCTGTTAAACAAAGGTTATCATCTGCTGGTTACCCACAATCCAATGGTCGAGCAGAGCTCGCGCTGTCAAAACAGCCAAGAGAATCGTAAATGGCAACACAGGAGCCCAAGGATCATTGGATAATAACCGTGCAGCAAGAGCCATCCTCCAATACAGGAATACGCCCATTCAAAACATTGGGCTATCCCCCTGCTCAACTACTACTCCACCGCCGACTACGTGACTACATACCATCCCACCCAACACTCTATAAGCCACACGCGAATTGATAACCGCAGCACAAAATCGTGAGATAAGTTTGTCCCGGCGGAACGCTCGTCTCATAGAGCGATACAACAGAACAGCACACACTTTAAAACCCCCCTTCAAAAAAGGACAAATAGTGGCACTACAAAGACCAACAACCCGTCGATGGGACACAACAGGTCAGGTCATTGAAACCCTCCCCAACCACCAATACCGTATCAGAGTTGACGGATCAGGTAGAATTACCTTACGAAATCGCCGATTTCTCAGGAAACTGGATACACCAACAATTCCAGTTCCAAGACCCTAGTGCAATACCTGAGACCCCTACACCAGTGCAACAAACAGTCGACGCTGGAATAACATCAAACACTGCTCAGCCGTCTACAATAACACGGACAAAAACCCCTCGGCATTGTCCAGACTACTTCCGCACAACCAGCCAGGTTTAAAAGAACTCATCCCTCCCCAAAGGCCACTACCCACACGCGATGGGGGGGAAGGAGATGAATAACAATAATAAAAAAGCACTTACCGGCGTAAGAGTTCCAACTAGCGTCCAGCTGGCAGACAAAAATAAAGCAGGTTGTAACTTAATACATATCCTGCAAACTGAGAAATCATGCTAGTATTTATATAGTAATACTTCCACCAGGTACCAGCAGCCAATCACAGCCCAAGCAATGGACTATCCCACTTTAGCATAATGAGATGCTCCATTGCACCATAAATAGCTCTCTGTCTCAATGTTGAATTAGTTCTTCACTCAGCTTGCTCCACAACTGAGTGTTTATCTTGACCACGTGATTGTTCGACACTTGTATTGCAATTTTTGTTGTTATTCATTGCTTTTCTCTAGCAATCTTTATTATTGGTTCCCATATTTTATTCATATCTATGCTTGGTCGGCTCAGGAGATTTTTGTGGCCTAGTAGGTGTGTTGAGTCCTTAAGTTTTCGGATTTTCCAGTGATGCTCTCTGTATATTATTTTAAACTCATCCCACAGTGGGCGGTGATCTCCGATTTTTCCTCTATTTGTCTCAGCTACGCCTGATTCTTCTCATTCCCCTTGTGTTACCGCTTTACGATATTCTTACCACAGCTGCACGGGATGGTGTACATACATTCCATAGTCATGTTTGCCCCTATCGGGGGGAGGCGCTTACTCGGAAGATGTGTCTGCGAAATGCTGAACCACTTTTGAAGATTGTTATATGAACACAGATCCTTTGTATTTTCTCTGATAATCCCTTCACATAAGGTAGACAGACTGAAGCTGTTTTCTGGGTATTGTTATCCCCTTGTACCCTTCTATCTCAGTTTGTCAGAGCTGCTGCCATGTACCCAGGGTAGTTGTTACATTGTAGGATACTGCTTATACTGACCATTTCTTGTTCATATGTCTCGGAATCCCCACTTATGAACTTGGTTCAATGTTGTAAGCAGAGGACGGCCCCTTTTTTTACATTATTTAGATGGTAGGAATTGAAATTGATGCATTGTCCGGTGGGCGAAATAAAGGGTTCGATTCGAAATTCCAATCACCTAAAGAAGGCCGGAACGTACAACGGCCGAAACGTTGTGAATATGGCAATGAAGATGAGGATATCAGTCCGAATAATGTAAGTAATGCAAGTAATCATAATACCTCATCTCAAATCCAATTACCTGAAGAAGGCCGGAGCGTACAACGGCAGATACGTTGTGAATATTGCAATGAAGATGAAGATAACAGTCCGAATAATGTAAATAATGCAAGTAATCATAATACCTCATCTCAGAGATCCAATTACCTGAAGAAGGCCGGAGCTTATAACGTCTGAAACGTTGTGAATATAAAAATAAAGATGAGGATAATAGTCCGAATAATGTAAATCATGCAAGTAATCATAATACCTCATCTCAGAGATCCACTTACCTGAAGAAGGCCGGAGCTTATAACGTCTGAAACGTTGTGAATATAAATATAAAGATGAGGATAACAGTCCGAATAATGCAAATAATGCAAGTTATCATAATACCTCATCTCAGAGATCCAGTCACCTGAAGGAGGCCGGAACGTACAAAGGCTGAAACGTTGTGAATATGAAAATAAAGCTGAATAATGTAAATAATGCAAGTTATCATAATACCTCATCTCAGAGATCCAGTCAGCTGAAGAAGACCGGAGTGTACAACAGCCGAAACGTTGTGAATATGGCAATAAAAATGAGTATATAAATCCGAATAATGTAAATAATACAAGTAATCACGCTACTATTAAGAACAGAAGTGTATTCTGTCACAAATTTATAATAAAAAGAGGCCTCGGTGAACTTTAAAATGCAAACAATGAAGAATTTCTTTTGCGACATGCAGTTGCTAAATCATAGGTAAGAATTGTACCATGTCACTTCAAGACTTGGTCAGGTATGGTTCTTTAGAAATTCCTTATTTTTTTACCTTTCCTGTTCCTCTCAGCTGATGATCTGTTGATCCTTTACACACGCTAGTGTTAAGATGGATTACTATATGTCTCTCTTTGACCTTATTGCTTTTATTATATCCAGCGAGTACTTTCCTTAATATGTGTACAATATTTCCCAGATACTCTACACCTTTCAACTTTTTCCTCTTCTTGGAAATGAAATGAATAAGATTTCAAAACTATGATTTTACCGTTGCTATTCCTCCCAGCTGATGATCTGTTACCTCTTTACACAAACTCGTTTTACGATGGGATACACTCTCTTTCCTTTTGACCCTATTGCCTTTACTAAGTCAAGTGAGTATAGCCCAAGATTTCAAGACGTTAAGGGAACCCAAGAAATAGCTGTTCTCCATTCCAAAATAAGAGATCCAAGAATGTTTCCATCAATTGAAACGACCCTGGCTTCAGAAGGCGATATTAATATATGTTGTAGTTTCATTTTTGATAGAACCAGTGACGATACATTTTTTTATCAGACCTCATATATTAAATGGTGTTGTATTTTATATTATAGATATATTTTATATCATTATAGTATATTTTATAATATAGACTATTTTAAATTATTATAGAATATTTTATATTATTATACAATATATTATATTATAAAATATTTTATATTATTATAGAATATTTCATATAATTATAGGATATTTTATATTATGGAAATATTTTATATTATTATAGATAATATTATAGTTATTTCATATTATTAAAGAAATTTTATACTATTATAGAGCATTTTGTATTATATAATACTTATATTTTTATATAATATTTTATATTATTATAAGATTTTTATATAATATAATATTTATATTATTATGTCTAATTTCAGATTATTATACCATATTTTATATTATAACATATTTTATATTATTATAGAATATTTCATACAATTATAGAACATTTTATATTATAGTATATTTTATATTATTATTGTTAAGTTTATATTATTATAAAATACTTTATATTATAGTATATATCATTATAGACTCGTTTATATTATAGAACATTTATATTATTATAGGATATTTCATATTACTATAGAATATTTTTAATATTATTGAATATTTTATAATATAGAATATTTATAGTATTATAGAATATTTCATATTATTATAGGATATTTTATATTATTAAATATTTTATATTGTTATAGATATATTTCATGTTATTATAAGTTATTCTCTAGTATATTTTATATTATTATAGAACATATTAGAACCATATTGGCCGTTTATCTTCTGCTGTCCTCTAGCGTTTCGCTTTTTAATATGCTTATTTCAATTTTGAATTTATTTTCTGTGTTCCCGTTTTCCAGAAAAAAAAGTCCCTATTTTTACCTTAAGTTACAGCGTCGCCGTAGGCAAAAGTGACGACGAAGCAGATTTAGCTATTTGAAAAATAACACTGCAAAATAACCTCCGACACTCTCTGAAAGGGCACGAACATCGATAAACCCCACAGAACCCCCCCGCCTAAAAAAAACATTTATTGAACCATTGTCAGAACGCTGTTATTTCCTTTCGCTGAGTTTAAAAATACGACCTCTTTACTTGTTGGCACGATCAGGAACGGCAAAGAAATTCCTTTGTCGGTTTATCTACAGAGCTGTAGACATTCCGAAAAGCCAGCGAATGTTTCCCCAACATGCTCATTCATTGAATGCATTCAGACAAGGGCTGGCAAGTGCTTCCGGGTCAAATACTCGGTTCCAACTTTGCGAACTACCTGCTCACGGGACTGTCAACGCCATCGTTCTTGCACGATAAAAGGCTTTTTAAAAACGCGTTACAATGCACGATGACATGTCGTGTCTATTATGTTCCGTGGTAAGTGGGAGTAAAATGCTATTTGCATACAAGAGAGCATGTGGCTTCCCAGTGGATATATGCGTACTGAATCAATTGTTGCGAAAGGAATTACCCTGAGTCGACAAAAGAATTGGTCTTAGGAATGTTGTTATACTGACAAAAGAATTTATGCATTCTATTTAAAGCAATAAAGAAAAGAAAGAAAGAAAAAGAAATAAGTGAAATTCGATGTATCAAAAGCGTTAATATAGAATTGAATATACTAACAGTCTTTTAACTATAGTTAATAGACATAAATAAGTATTTCTATCTATCTCAGTTTTTTCATTATCATAGAATATTCATTATCTATCATAGACTTTTCATCTATCATAGACTTTTCATCTATCTATCTATCTATCTATCTATCTATCTATCTATCAAAGACTTTTCATCATTTATATATCAAAGGCTTTTCCTTTCTGTGCATGTATCTATTAGATTTTTTTATTATCTATCTATCGATCGATCGATCATAGATTTTTCATCATTTATTTATTTATCTATCATTCTATCACAGATCAAAATATTGGGAAATTTATTTGTATATTTTTACAAACTGCTCCATATATTGATAAATTATTATGCATTTCTTGTTGCCTTTTCGTTATCGTTATTGCTAATTGTTGTAATGGAATGTCCCACACTTCCTATTGCCTATGTGGACTGACTATATCAATAGATATATATGGCGAACACAGGATATAACTGGGGCTTTTGATTCAGGGATTACTTTTAATAGTGTATTCTCTTTTACAATAAACCCCTTTTTCTTTCATCTACGCGTGCGTTGCTGTTCCTTGACTCTAGTACCACCTTTGTTTGTTTGTAACCTCATTGAGGATACAACAATAATATAAAAAGATTTCGTGTTTTGTATGCGATCCGTCGAAGAAAAGTTACCGAAAGTAGTTAGCAAGAATCTGCTATTTTAAGTATCAGAATCTATGCTAATGTTCTTTCCTCTCCTGGATGGCGTGGCCAATAAAAAAAAAATCACTCGGGGAATAAAAGCCGTTGTTTTTTGCTTCAGAGGATTTTTTTCTGAGCTTGTTGGAAGAACATGCGTTTTTGCTGGTGAGAGTGAAGGTTGGATTTCAGACCCCATTTTGTCGTTTCTACGTTGCCCGTTGGACTGTTGGACTATCGTTTGAACTGTGTTGAGGACGAGAGACAGAAGCAACCTATAGTAGGCTTTTATTGCTACTATAAGTTTACACTTTTTTCTTTTCTTTACTACAACAAAGACAAATTTTTAAACCAGCCATAGAATTCACACCTTTCTCAAGCATTGAGTAGAAATAGGAAAAGTAGGGATAGGTTTATGCAATTCCCCCATTCATAAAAAACTACTTGTTAAATATAATCTTATGAAAAATCTATGTTTTAAGGAATATAAAAAAAACCGTTTGACAAAGACTTTTTCAAAGACTTTTTAGATCTGGTAGGTAACCTTAACATATTTTGGAAGGATACTGGACTAATCCAGAATCTATACTTGCAGAAAACCGGCTGCATGCGGATAGAAAAAGAATTCATAAATACACAAAATAGAATGGGGTTTAAGACAAGGACGTATCTTCTCACCGGACATTCAGCTTTTACTGTGAAGCAATCCCGAGAGAATCAGAAATCGTAACAGGATTCATTATTGGATGCCACAATATTAACAACATTAGATATGTTGATGAAACATTGTTGATAGCAAATACAGAAAGGCGGGAAATCCTACAGAAGGAACTAAGTTAAAGAGAGGAGAGATAACAAAACATCAATTGTAAGAAGACTGAATGTCGTCAACAAAAGAAAGAGTCCGACATGTGAATTACAAATAGTAGACACCAAAAATCAAGCAAGTACAAATATTTAAATATGTAGGAAGTGTTTTAACAGAGACAACAAAAAGGAGGTCCTACAGAAGGATGCTGAGAATACCATGGCCTGAACATGATAACCATAACGAAGTTTGAAAGAAAATGGAAATAAAAAGGTCCATCCTTAAAATCAGAGACAGTTGAAATTTCTATGGCACATAATGAGGGATGAGAGGTTTTGACACTCACAAGAGATACTGAAAGCAAGCAGCGCGTAACGTATATAACGAGCTTGTGTAGAAGATTGATGGCAGAACAGTAATTAGGAAACATAGGAAAAATAGAAATTGTACTATGAGCTATAAAAGGTACTTCGAAAATAAAAAGAATACTTCGATCCACAAAAATCACAACAAAACATATGTAAGCAATCGGATGAAATATTCTAAATTTAATATCGACATTTATTTAATATCTTTCGATTATCATATAATGTCTAATAATTATACATCTAATAATTACAAAATTCCACATTTTAAATACTACATCATTTGTAGGATATTAAAGTATTATTGTTAACCAAGTTATGACAACATAAAAATAACATTTGGTCTTTTTTATAGAAAAGAAAATATGATCTGAAAATATACACGTCTAAAAATCTGTTGAGGACTGGATGATAAAATCCACGAAACTCGGAGTACGGATTTGTATTGAAAAGCAGGATGAACTTCTGGCGAAATTTGATGAGGCTGACCGACCCCGTCGATCAAAAAGAAAACGCTTGGTGTGTTGCGTATGCAAGAGAGGATGGCTGACGTGAACATCTGCTTACAAAAAATATGGTCGTGGCGCTAGGCTGAGAGGTGCTTAGAATTTGTTTATGCAAATGATTCGTGTCTTGCATAGCGAGATTACTGATGTTTCTGGGCTCAGTATAAACAGACGGATTTTTTGGTTTCAACAGTGAATCGCCATTATTTGAATTGCATGTTTCTTCCCGTGCAGCATAAGTTAAATCTGACAAGAATTTCGAAATTTTTTCGATCTGTAAATTTACATTAAGTTTTAGTGTTCGTTTTTTCTAATATCTGTGAAACTTTTTGTTGTGTACGATACACCTAATTTACATAAGTGGAGTACCGACCATATAAATATGGGTTGGTACCGGAAGACCAGAGAGTAAGATAGTAGTTAGAAGAAGATCCAATCCAGAGACTCTGCCCGACTGCGATTTAGTCAACCCATTATGCAGGAACAGTCTTCCCAAGAATATACCAAAACTAACTGTAAATATTGTGTACCTTTTCCTTGTTTCAATACATTTTGTTAACGTACATTTTGTGTTGTATTGTTATTATTCCATGCTTATCCAAGTTTCAACAATGGCGACGAGGTATAAAGAACTTTACGTTACGGAAAAAAAAAGAATTAATAATTGATAGCCTTCAACAATTGGGACAAGTGGAAGAACCCAGGCTGAAAAAAAAAAAAAATTAATTAAAAAGTCGAACATCTAATGGAACGGAAAAGTATTCTGAAGTTTGGACAGTTAAAACTAGTTAAAGGACGACTAAGCAAAGGAACGTTCACTCAGAGAAAATCTGGAAGGTGGCGTAAACAAATAACGGCGAAAAAAAAAAAAAAAAATGCTGGCCGACTAAAAAAAAAAAAAAAAAAAGCTGGCCGACTAAAAAAAAAAACATGCATGGAATTAAAAGGAGCACAAATACAACGTGTCGACTTTGAAAGGTAAGCGAACTTGTAAAAAAAAAAATTTGTTTATTTTTTGTTTGTTTGGTTGCTCAACAATATTTTATAAAGCAAGACATAAAATTAAAAAAGGCGTAAGTTGTTTCGATTTTTTTGTCTGCTTATAGTATATTCGTGGATACACAATTTAAAAGTATATTCTTTGTTGCATGAACACTATCAGCTAAAGATGGAGGAATTATCCAAAGTTATAGCTGAATTGTTTAAAACCCAGCAGTTGAGTCAAGCTGAGTTAGTCAAATCCCAGCAGTTGAGTCTGCAACAACAAAGTAAACAGTTTGCCTTATTAAGAGAACAGCAATTAGCACAGCAGAATTATCAAGAAAGGCAAGAGGAGTTGAGTCAGCAACGTAAAAGGGAACAGGAAGAAATGTATGTCAAGGTTTTGGAAATTCAAAAGTTAACATTGGAGAAATTAAACAACATTCAGGCAAATGAAAGTAACTCTTCATATTCTAATAACATCATATTTAATTCGTTGGAAACTTTCAACTATGTGCCAGACGAAGGAAAAACGTTTGAAGCGTACTTTAAACGATATGAAGATATTTTCCACACAGACTGTGAAAACTGGTCGAATTCAAGAAAAGTCAGTCTATTACTAAGAAAGCTAGGTACAGCGGAACATAGCAAATTTGTAGATTTTATACTACCAAGAAGAACAAATGAATTGGAATTCTCGGAAACAGTGAAATTGCTAAAGGAGTTGTTTGAAGCCAAATTCGAATTAAAGGAAAATACTATGCCAATTTTAAAAAGAAACGTAATGTGCCTTTCGCAAGTGTAGAGAAAATTAACGAAGAACTTGATAGGTTGGAAAAAATGGGAATTTTTTCGAAAGTAGAATCTAATTCATGGGCTGCGCCGATTGTGTGCATAAAAAAGAAATCAAACCAAGTCAGAGTCTGCGTTGATTTTTCGACAGGGTTGAACTCGGTAATTAAGGACTACCATTACCCGTTACCGAGTCCGGAGGAGATTTTAACAAGCTAAATGGTGGAGTTATATTTTCAAAATTGACTTATCAGATGCCTATCTCCAAATTCCCGTCGAAGAGGAATGTTCGAAGTTACTAGGGATAAACACTCATAGAGGGTTATTCAAGTACAACAGGCTTCCTTTTGGTATTAAAGTGGCACCTGCCATTTTTCAACAAGCTATGGACGTCATGCTGAATGATTTAGACTTTGCGTGCGCTTACTTAGACGACATCATAGTAAGGAGCGAATCGGTCGACGAACATCGAGAGCATCTCAATCAAGTATTTAAAAAATTCAGGACTTTGGATTTAAAGTCAAAGAGTCAAAGTGCGAATTTGGTTTGGAGGAAATTAAATATTTAGGGCACATAATCAACAAAATGGCAGATGTCCGGATCCGGAAAGGTCCATTGCGATTAGAGACATGCCGACGCCCACTAATGTGGTGATGCTACAAAGTTTTCTAGGGCTTGCAAATTATTATCAAGCGTTCATTAAAGGAATGTACAATTTAAGAGCTCCGTTGAATGAACTGCTAAAAAAGACAAGGCATGGGAATGGACGGTAGAATGTCAGAAAGCCTTTGATGAAATAAAGAAAATGCTTACGTCCGACCTCTTTTTAACCCATTACAATCCAAAACTGGATATTGTAGTGGCAAGTGACGCTAGTTCATACGGGATAGGAGCGTGTATTCAACACATAATGCCAGATGGTTCTAGAAAACCAATTGCACACGCTTCGAGAACTTTGCTCCCAGGAGAAAGAAGTTATTCTCAGATAGAAAAAGAGGCACTGAGTATCATTTTTGCCATACAAAAATTTCACAGGTACATCCATACGGCAGACATTTTATCCTTGAAA